TTGGACACTAACTGTCCAACAAGACCCTCCTGCATCCACAAGGAACAACTCTTAAAAAACCCAGTGGGAAAAAGTGAGAAACCTTGGGGAGAACTAGGGAAACCCACAGGGAGGGAGACCCATATGAGAAAGGGATCCGCTCCTCCGGACGGACAGGCTAATGATCTAGGACCTAAGCTAGCTACAGAACGTGGACCAGTGGCCGCTGAACGTGGACAGGTCCGGTGCAGGACTGAAGCACTCCCAGGCGGGTCGGGCGGGGCAGTCCGCAGGTGTAGATGGAGGAGGCCAGGCTCAGAGATCCCGTCATCATACCATGAAACAGACAATGGGACAACGGGTGAATAGCAATGAACAAACTACAGTCAGAATCCTAAAAATGCTAAACAGATAAAGTAGGAAAGAGGAGAGGATAGTGCTCAAGTTACCATACTTCTCCAGCAATGATGATACATTGTGCTTGTTCCAATAGTTATCAGAACCTCTTGTGTTTCACTTGCTGCTCTCAGTCGACTTCCGGGTGCATCCCGTTTGATCAGTAAAGCCTTTATTTCCAATCCTTAGCATTCTTTAGCCTTCCAGCTCCTTACCACGAGGCTGGGATTTAGCTAAACAATATGCTTTCAACAATTATACAATTCTAAACAGAGAAAACAGTACGAACGCACTCCCCCACTCTGTGCTGAAGCATTTACGTCACTCATGGGAGGCTGCCTCATCGTGCGTTGATTAGTCATGTGAGAAACTGCAATTTTGTGGAAAAATCACATGGAAAATAGTAAAAATCACACATGGTATTTATGACCATGTAAGATGTCCCCATGTTATTCTCTCTTCTTTCCATGATTGCAGCCATGTGATTCACTATTTGAGGCTTTTTCTAAATTTACATGTATGTCGTACTTTTTATATAGAATTGTCTGTTTCACATTTGAAAACCACGACAAAGCTAAAGTCAAGAAAAGTTTCCTGTCACCAGATATTTGACTGAAAAATACTGCGGCACATCCACTAACCCATCCATGTTGCTTTAATACTTCTACTAACATTGGACGGATGAACTTTCAATGAAAAATCCAGTTGTCGTTCAAAAATAAATCTATTTATTACTGAATATTCCTCCTGAAAGAATGTAATTATTCCATCCATCCATCCATTTTCTTCCGCTTCATCCGTTGCCGGGTCGCGGGGGCAGCAGTCTAAGCAGAGACGCCCAGACTTCCCTATCCACACACACTTCCTCCAGCTCGTCCGGGGGGACCCCAAGGCGTTCCCAGGCCAGCTGAGAGACATAGTCCCTCCAGCGTGTCCTGGGTCTTCCCCGGGGCCTCCTCCCGGTGGGACGTGCCCGGAACACCTCCCCAGGGAGGCGTCCAGGAGGCATCCGGAACAGATGCCCGAGCCACCTCAACTGGTTCCTCTCGACGTGGAGTAGCAGCGGCTCTACTCCGAGCTCCTCCCGTGTGACTGAGCTCCTCACCCTATCTCTAAGGGAGCGCCCAGCCACTCTGCGGAGGAAGCTCATTTCGACCGCTTGTATCCGCGATCTTGTTCTTTCGGTCATTACCCAAAGCTCATGACCATAGGTGAGGGAGGGAACGAAGATTGACCGGTAAATTGAGAGCTTTGCCTTTCGGCTCAGCTCCCTCTTCACCACAACGGTCCGATACAGCGACCGCATCACTGCGCACGCTGCACCGATCCGCCTGTCAATCTCACGCTCCATCCTTCCCTCACTCGTGAACAAGACCCCGAGATACTTGAACTCCTCCACTTGAGGAAGGGCCTCTCCACCCACCTGAAGAGGGCAGGGCACCTTTTTCCGGTCGAGCACCATGGCCTCAGATTTGGAGGTGCTGATTCTCATCCCAGCCGCTTCACACTCGGCTGCAAACCGTCCCAGTGCATGTTGTAGGTCCTGGTTCGTTGGAGCCAACAGGACAACATCGTCTGCAAACAGCAGAGATGAAATCCTGTGGTCCCCGAACCGGACCCCCTCCGACCCTTGGCTGCGCCTAGAAATTCTGTCCATGAATACAGTGAACAGAACCGGTGACAAAGGGCAGCCCTGGCGGAGGCCAACGTGCACAGGGAACAGGTCTGACTTACTGCCGGCAATGCGCACGCAGCTCTGGCTCCGGTCATACAGGGACCGGACGGCCCTCAGCAGAGGACCCCGGACCCCGTACTCACGGAGGACCCCCCAAAGGACACCCCGGGGAACACGGTCGAACGCCTTCTCCAAATCCACAAAGCACATGTGGACAGGTTGGGCGAACTCCCATGAACCCTCGAGTATCCGATGGAGAGTGTAGAGCTGGTCCAGTGTTCCACGGCCGGGACGAAAACCACACTGCTCCTCCTGAATCCGAGATTCGACCATCGGCCGTAACCTCCTCTCCAGTACCTTGGAGTAAACCTTACCAGGGAGGCTGAGGAGTGTGATCCCACGATAATTGGAACACACCCTCCGGTCCCCCTTCTTGTAGAGAGGAACCACCACCCCGGTCTGCCACTCCATTGGCACCGCCCCCGATCGCCACGCGATGTTGCAGAGACGTGTCAGCCAAGACAGTCCTACAACATCCAGAGACTTTAGATAGTCAGGACGGATCTCATCCACTCCCGGCGCCTTGCCACCAAGGAGGCTGCCAACCACCTTGGTGACCTCTGCCAGGGTGACAGAAGTATCCGCCCCAACATCCTCAGCCTCTGCCTCCGGAGCGGAGGACGTGACGGGGGGATTGAGGAGAACCTCGAAGTATTCCTTCCACCGTCCGACAATATCCCCGGTCGAGGTCAGCAGCTCACCCCCCGCACCGTACACGGTGTTGGCAAAGAACTGCTTCCCCCTCCGAGGCGCCGGACAGTTTGCCAGAATCTCTTCGAGGCCGACCGATAGTCATGCTCCATGGACTCTCCGAACTCCTCCCAGTCCCGGGTTTTTGCCTCTGCAACAGCCCGGGCCGCGGCACGCTTGGCCTGCCGGTACTGGACAGCTGCCTCAGGAGTCCCCCGAACCATCATGGCTCGATAGGACTCCTTCTTCAGCCTGACGGCATCCCTTACTGCCGGTGTCCACCACCGGGTTCGGGGGTTGCCGCCGGGACCAGCACCAGAGACCTTGCGACCACAGCTACGAGCCGCCGCATCGGCGATAGAGGAAGAGAACATGGTCCACTCAGACTCAATATCCCCCTCCTCCGCCGGGACCTGGGAGAAGCTCTCCCGGAGGTGTGAGTTGAAAGTCCGTCTGACAGGGGTCTCAGCGAGACGTTCCCAGCAAACCCTCACTACACGCTTGGGTCTGCCAGGTCTGACCGGCTTCCTCCCCTGCCAGCAGATCCAACTCACGACCAGGTGGTGATCGGTTGACAGCTCTGCCCCTCTCTTTACCCGAGTGTCCGAAACACGCGGCCGAAGGTCAGATGATACGACAACAAAGTCGATCATCGACCTCCGGCCTAGGGTGTCCTGGTGCCACGTGCACTGGTGGACATCCTTGTGCTCGAACATGGTGTTCGTGATGGACAAACCGCGACTGGCACAGAAGTCCAACAACTGAGCACCGCTCGGGTTCAGATCAGGGGGGCCGCTCTTCCCGATCACCCCTCTCCAAGTGTCACTGGCGTTTCCCACATGGGCGTTGAAGTCCCCCAGGAGAATAACGGAGTCCCCGGGCGGTGCACCGTCCAGTACCCCTACCAAGGACTCCAAGAAGGCCGGGTACTCTACACTGCTGTTAGGCCCGTAGGCCGTCACAACAATGAGAGACTTGTCCCCCACCCGGAGGCGGAGGGACGCGACCCTCTCATTCACCGGGGAGAACTCCAACACGTGGCGGCTGAGATGGGGGGCAATGAGTATGGCCACCCCAGCTCGCCGCCTCTCCCCGCGAGATACACCAGAAAAGTGGAGCGTCCAACCCCTCTCAAGGAGTTGGGTTCCAGAGCCCAAGCTGTGTGTGGAGGTGAGGCCGACTATCTCTAGTCGGTACCTCTCGACCTCCCCCACAAGCTCGGGCTCCTTCCCCCCCAGTGAGGTGACGTTCCACGTCCCAAGAGCTAGATGTTGGGTGTGCGGACTGGGTCGCCGAGGTCTCCGCCTTCGACTGCTGCCCAGTCCTCTCTGCACCGAGCCGCCACGGACCCCTCTGCGGGTGGTGGGCCCACAGGAGGGACTGCCCACGTCGTCCTTTCGGGCTGAGCCCGGCCGGGCCCCGTGGGCTAAGGCCCGGCCACCAGGCGCCCGCTTTCGGGCCCTGACCCCAGGCCTGGTTCCAGGGTGGGGCCCCGGCTGCGCCATGCCGGTCGACGTCACTTGTTCTTTTTTTGTGCGATCCATGACGGGTTGTGGACTGTGCTTCGTCTGACTCGTCACCTGAGACCTGTCTGCCATGGGAGACCCTACCAGGGGCATGAAGCCCCAGACAGCATAGCTCCCAGGATCACCCGAGTACTCAAACTCCCCCACCACGTTAAGGTGGCAGTCCAGGGGGGAGCTACTATGTAGTTATTCATAGTACAAAATACTTTCCAATTAGACGGGCTGTGCAGACTCCCTTTGACAAACCCCCATCCAATGTTGGCACTAAACTGTCCCTAAAGCGTAGAGGGGGAAACAGATTGATGATTGAAGATTTAAAAACAGGCATCTGGACATTTTTTCCCCTTCCTTCAAATTTGTTTAATGAATTTAGAACAAGGATCCATGGCTTCATCCTCAAAACAAAAAATCAATGTTTTGAAAGGTGCTCTTTTTGCTCAAAATGGGTTATTATAGTGCCTTAATAACCCTTTTACCCGCCCATCCTCAACCCACTTTCTGAGCCCTGTGGCAACTTTTATTTTTACATCTCTCATCATTATTTTTTTTTGCTCAAAGTTTGTCTATGTTTTGTCTTGCACAAACAATCTTTTAGCAAAATATCTGCTTGAATTCACCTCCAAGACACAGACTAAAGTTCCTCAGCTTTATTAGAAAACACTTTTTTGCCCCACATGATCTGGTAACAGTGTTGAACCTTTTCTCTTATTCACGCTGATCTTTCAGCTCAAAAAATAGTTCCCTCTCACTTTTCAAGTGGATCCTTAAATCTTCACTTTGAAGTGGGCTGGTGTCTGATGTGTGCACTCATAAGGGAAGTGTAGGGAGTCTGGCCAGAATATTTTCAAGGAAAAGCTTGGATCTTTCCCACACACCCCCTCACGTCTTCCTTCTGCTCAGCTTGGACCGGCTCCAGACTTGTTTTAATTGTGCTACAACCACACATTCAATCAATGTGAAAGTAATCATTTTATTTAAACTCAATTTAATAAAACAAAGACTTAAAATGACTGACGAATCAACATGTTTAAAACAAATACAGGTTAAAAGGAGCGTGTTAGTGAACATGTTTCAAGAAAGCACATTATGCTCACTAATAAAACATTTTTTAATTAATATTGGCCAGTCGACAATGACAATTAAACAGAAGTGGGAAGAGGACCACAATGCTGCAATTGAAGAAGATATATGGAGACAAGCGTTGAGTGGTCTACATCATTGCTCTGTCAACGCCAGACTTCAGCTAATACAATTTAAGGTCATACATAGATTACACTACTCTAAAGTCAAGTTAAACAAATTCTTTCCTCAAACGTCACCTCTCTGTGATAGATGCAAGACCTCAAGGCACACTTGCTCATTTATTCTGGCTTTGCCCCACTCTCCGAGGTTTCTGGTGTTCAATATTTCGATGGTGATCTGGTGCATTTGGGGTAAAAATAGATCCTGACCCTGAGACTGCTCTCATTGGTTTTTCCAGAACCCTGGTGAATCTAGGACTTAATGCCACCACGGTTGTGTCATATGGGATGGTTATAGCAAAGAGATGCATTTTAATTAAAAGCCTGGAAACCTTCCTCTGCACCTGTCTTCCAAGCATGGCTTCAGAGAGTTATTGGGTCTATTACACATTGAAAGAATGAGGTAGGAGCTGGCTGGCAAGTTCCATAACTTTTATAATGTGTGGAAACAAATACTGAGCTATCTGAACCTTTAGTGTGCCCCCAACCCACAGACTTACCATTAAAGGATGTTAAAGTGGACAATGAGGTCTCTGACTTTGCATACCCCTGAATGTCATTTTTCTTTATTTTATTATTTGTATTATTTTTTTTTAATTTCTGTCATGTAACTGCATAATCTGTGTCGATTATTGATATGTTCTGTGTCTATAAATGAAAATCTATAATTAAAGTTTTGAAAAAAAAGAAAGCACATTATGTTACTGTGCAAAAAACGTAAATACTTACCATATTTGACCCATGCATATGTGTGAAATTATGCTTTAAATGTAGAATGTGATTGTCATCTGTTGAGCTGCATGTATTTTCACAGATTTACATTTACACTGTTCTCCAACTGTGTCCCAACGCCTCAATTCCAAAGTGCAATTGTATCTGTAAATTGTTCTGCATAATCTGTGCTACTGTCAAAGGTATTGTATATTGTGTTTCTCTGCGTTATGATAAAAAAAAAAAAATGTACACAAACAAAGCAGGAGGGCCAACCCATTGAGTTCAAAGGGGTTTGGCATTCATTGTTTTTCCGCTTTGTTTGCATCTCCATCAGCCGAGGGAGAATGATTGGCCCGGCCCTCGCAATCTCCGCAACAGAAGATTCATATTGCGTGAGGCAAAATAAATTGCTTTTTTTTTGCCAAGATCATGCTTCTCAGTGTATGTGAGAATGGATTCCAATAGCAACACCATTAGTTTCATATCTGGCGCTGATGAGGAATCGGTTGCTCAAACTTGGAAACATCTGCCTGCATCAGTCGCAGAGGGATCCATGATGTTTTGGAATGACAGCTTTTTGAAATTGATTTGAATGCAGCATTTGTTTTGAATCTGCTTAGTGTTTCTAGTCAGAGGTGGAATTAGATTGTGCGAGCTAATATGCTTTGAGAATGCATTTTGAATTATGTGTTATGTCTGCATTTTGTTTACATCCCAGGGAAGGGAATAATACAATTGTGAGGCAGTATTGTTGGAATTGTGGATGTTATCCTTGAGTTGTAATAACTCATACTATAATTGAATACACAGTCATTCACATGTATAAAGGAAGAGCTTAAAGGTGTCTTATGCAACTTTGTATGGGAACAAAAGTTTATATAATTGCATTTTTGATCCTGTCGTGGCTGTAAGAGTGCACTGTAAAAAAAACAATCTGTAGATTTTACGGTAAAATTCTGGTAACTTTTGATACCAGAACATTTATTTAAAAAATACGGCTGCACTGTAAAACCAATTTTGTTACCAGTCTCTCAAAGATAACCGTGGAAGAAACAATGCTTAATTTATAACATGAAAGGTGCCAGAACACAGCGGATGAGTAAGTCCGACAAGTTCTGTTGGCGATCGCTCAGACACATTTTAACCAGAGAGAAAGGTTTTTGTTTGTCCAGTACTTGTGATGTATGGGGATACACACCTCACTCATGGTTCACATCAGCATCTTCAGCAACAGACAAGAGGCTTTAAATCTGCTCAGTTGTAGAAGATTGCAGTGTTGAATCTAGTTTTGTTGTCAACATTTGTAATCTTGTGTGAATCATGTGTAATATCATGATTAAACATTTTGATTAAACTCATTAGACCAAAAATTATAGCCCATTTTTTTAATTTCTACCAACCATGATCGAGAAGGCTATGCTAAAGAAGCACTATTTATCCTACCTATACTAATTTAATTATTCTAGATAGTACTGGATTGGTTAATATCTGGGGAGAAGGTCTAATGGGAAGAATGAACCCTTTACCTTCAGCCCTGATGTCTAACATTCTACCACCTGAGCTACTGGTAGATAATCAGACTTTCTATCATTAAAAATAAACTTTAAAAATAAGTATATTTTACAATATTTTAATATCACTTTAACTAAATGATTTTGATGAGTGATACAGTTCTCCTGTTTTTATTACTGTGATGTGTTTTTACGAGTAAATTTGACTGTTATCACATATCATTGATGTAATTTCAACAAAAATGTTTTGTTTCTCAGATTACAGTATTTTTATTGGGATTTTAACATAAAATTATTGTTTTCATACTAACAATTAAAATCATGTTGAGTTTTTACAATTTTTGTTAATTTTACTGTCTTATTTACAGAGTGGTAAGCATAGTGCCTGCAGAGTGTGGGGGTCACTCTGCAGAGAAAACTTTCCCAACACCTGGAGACCACTGTGACAGAAAGTATAGGCACAATGCTGACCATTCTCAGAGCCACAAACTAAAGTTGCATAATCCCCCTTTAAAGATATTTTTTTCATGAATATGACATGTTTTTTCCATGCAAAAGTAAAATGTGGAGGACAAAATACACAACAAAAATGCTGTTATTTTCCTATAAAAACATAACCATCTATATGAGCTCTGAATATATGTACTGTATGTATGCATTCTGAGCATCAATGATGTCATATGTATTCTCAGTATTTTACAAATGAAAGCTCTATTAAAAAGGAAAAATAATGAATATAAAGTTTACATTTATAAGTTGCAAGATTTTAGGTAAGAATTCCTTGTTGTCACTTGACTGGGAGATGATTGGCTGAGTGAAGGTGGTCCTCAATCTGATCTAAAACGGCATACTGATACATGCATGGATCATAGCACATACTGAACATGTTTGTGGTTTGCCTCGACAATTGGGTTCCACATCTAGAGAACAAATTAACTGCTATATTTTATTTCATTTTGACTTTTTCATCCACCTTAGATCTCAGCATCTTCCCTATGCGCACTGTAATCCCTTTTCCCATTTATAACAGCACTTTTTCATTGTCCCTTGTCCTTTTCATTTTGCCAATACACTTTTCACTCATGTCTTTATCTCCACCTTTCCTACTTTTCCAATTTGAACACCATCACATTCTGCTTTTTTTTTTTTTTTTGCCCTCCTAGGCGCCGTTCCATTTCTTGTGTATCTTTCTGCGCACCGCTCTTATCTAAATCCTGCCGTGCATCTCTGTGTGTGTGTAGGGTGGAGGCAGCGGGGTACCAGAGAGTGCTGCAGGTGGATCTGGAGGTGAATGGGTTGATGGCGGCGGAGGGGCCCCGGGAGGTGAGCTGGCAGGTGGAGTACCCGCTCACACGCGCCCTGACCATTGAGGTGCTGACCCTTATCCACATGGCACCACAGGACCTGGGTGGGATTGTGCCTCTAGCCATGGTAAGTCTTCATTACTGTGGCAAAAGCTTATGTGTTGTGTGACCCTGGCTTTTTCTAAAACTCTGTGGTATTTCTCCTTTAGTGTGTTAGCTTTTATATATATATATATACAGTGCCTTGCGAAAGTATTCGGCCCCCTTGAACCTTTCAACATTTTGCCACATTTCAGGCTTCAAACATAAAGATATAAAATTTTCATTTTTTGTAATGAATCAACAACAAGTGGGACACAATCGTGAAGTGGAATGAAATTTATTGGATAATTTAAACTTTTTTAACAAATAAAAAACTGAAAAGTGGGGCGTGCAATATTATTCGGCCCCTTTACTTTCAGTGCAGCAAACTCAGTCCAGAAGTTCAGTGAGGATCTTTGAATGATCCAATGTTGTCCTAAATGACTGATGATGATAAATAGAATGCACCTGTGTGTAATCAAGTCTCCGTATAAATGCACCTGCTCTTTGATAGTCTCAGGGTTCTGTTTAAAGCAGCAGAGAGAACCATGAAGACAAAGGAACACACCAGGCAGGTCCGAGATACTGTTGTGGAGAAGTTTAAAGCCGGATTTGGATATAAAGATTTCCCAAGCTTTAAACATCTCAAGGAGCACTGTGCAAGCAATTATATTGAAATGGAAGGAGTATCAGACCACTGCAAATCTACCAAGACCCGGCCGTCCCTCCAAACTTTCATCTCAAACAAGGAGAAGACTGATCAGAGATGCAGCCAAGAGGCTCATGATCACTCTGGATGAACTGCAGATAACTACAGCTGAGGTGGGAGAGTCTGTCCATGGGACAACAATCAGTCGTGCACTGCACAAATCTGGCCTTTATGGAAGAGTGGCAAAAAGAAAGCCATTTCTCAAAGATATCCAATAAAAGTCTCTTAAAGTTTGCCACAAGCCACCTGGGAGACACACCAAACATGTGGAAGAAGGTGCTCTGGTCAGATGAAACCAAAATCACACTTTTTGGCCACAATGCAAAACGATATGTTTGGCGTAAAAGCAACACAGCTCATCACCCTGAACACACCATCCCCACCTCAGCTGTAGTTATCTGCAGTTCATCCAGAGTGATCATGGGCCTCTTGGCTGCATCTCTGATCAGTCTTCTCCTTGTTTGAGATGAAAGTTTGGAGGGACGGCCGGGTCTTGGTAGATTTGCAGTGGTCTGATACTCCTTCCATTTCAATATAATTGCTTGCACAGTGCTCCTTGAGATGTTTAAAGCTTGGAAAATCTTTTTGTATCCAAATCCGGCTTTAAACTTCTCCACAACAGTATCTCGGACCTGCCTGGTGTGTTCCTTTGTCTTCATGGTTCTCTCTGCGCTTTATCAATCAATCAATCAATCAATCAATCCTTTATTATCTCACACAGATGGAGAAATTCAGTTCGATGAATAAACATCAAGGCCGGCCGCGTACTCTAATTTTCCGCGCTCCTTATGACAGTTATTCAACAGCAGAGAGCAAAACAGACACATATTTCAACAAACATGGGAGAGACACGGTACATGTGGAAAACATGCAGATCTTTTTAATGGGAAGTCATCACTCTGGCCCGCCTCGTCCAATATAGCGCGTCAGAGGGGAGTGTGGGTGGGGGAGGTGGAGGGGAAGACCACCATAGACTGAAAAGAGAGGGAGGCAGACATGTAGAAGGGGGGGGGGGGGACTGTAACTGGTGTTTTGGGTTGTGAGTCTGAGTTATAGAGTCCATTGTCGGCCTTGAGTGGCCGGTGTGTGGTGGTGGAATGTGAAGGACAAAGATAGCGCAGGTGCAAACATTGGAGACAAAACAACACATGCCTTGTGGGAAATTTGTATAAGCACTTTAGCTGATCAATGAAAGGCAGTGTAAACTAAAGCCAATGTGTCCAAATTATACTGGAACTGGACCCTCCGTTCACCGTTATCCGGAGTTGACCACGTCAGTACGAGGTTCCACCGTGAGGCCCAAGTCCTTCAATCAATCCTTCCACGCGTTTCCACGCGTTTAAGTCCATCCAAAGATCTCACTCCCAGGTCATTAAGGGAATGTTCGATCCGACTCACACCCCGTTGTGTCCCCACTGTGCCCTCGACCACGACTCTGACCAACTCGCGGAAACTCTCCTTGTTTTCCGCGGACAGCCGCTCGTAAATCTTCTGAGTGGACAGCCCTCCAACTTTGCGGTAGATCAAGCCAACTCCAAATTCAATCAGGAGGAACCCTGCTACCATAAATCCAAAAATGTATATATCCTCAATGTCCTCGATGGAGAGTCCCGACAGACAAACGGGGTGCCACTTTTGCCAGTTGTCAAAAACGTACCCAGCAGCCGCCGTACCCTCCGGGCAAACGGCATCTCCAGAACCGCCTTTACGTGATGAAAAAATAGTATCAATTGCGTTGAGGGACCAGTTGATTAATTCCATCATTTTTCAAGTTGTACACAGGCAGAGCACTAGGAAAAAGACAGTCAGGGCAAGCAGAGCAGGAGCAGGCAAGAGACACGTCTGACCTCGAGGAGAGCAGGAGGAGAAAAAACAGAACCCTGAGACTATTAAAGAGCAGGTGCATTTATACGGAGACTTGATTACACACAGGTACATTCTATTTATCATCATCAGTCATTTAGGACAACATTCAAAGATCCTCACTGAACTTCTGGAGTGAGTTTGCTGCACTGAAAGTAAAGGGGCCGAATAATATTGCACGCCCCACTTTTCAGTTTTTTATTTGTTAAAGTTTAAATTATCCAACAAATTTCATTCCACTTCACGATTGTGTCCCACTTGTTGTTGATTCATGACAAAAAAATAAAATTTTATATCTTTATGTTTGAAGCCTGAAATATGGCGAAATGTTGAAAGGTTCAAGGGGGCCGAATACTTTCGCAAGGCACTGTATATATCATGCTAAAGTGAAAGTCAGTTACTTTTCACAGACCCACCCAGTGCTGTGGGTGGGTCTGCTTCCTGAGTGGACGCAGTTAATTCAAATCGTTTATAAGCAGCTGAGGCCCCTCATTGTGAAAACGAAAAAGTTTGTTCAACTCAACATTTCAAGGCAACTGGCTGCACGCGACTTTTGAGTTGAAGCATCAACTTAATTCTTTACGTTTTGAAGAACTACAATCATTAAGTTGTGTCAGTTAAGTGTTTCTAGTTCTGCCAATTAAGTTTTTGTAATTCAAGTTACTGGAACTTTCATGTCTGTAAAAACGTACTTTTTAAAGTTCAGATTACAGTCCCCTGCAATAATTTACTATTTTGAGTTTAAACTACCTCATGTGTATTTATATAGTGCACTAAGGTCACTTGGGTAGGGGAAACCGGAGCACCCGGAGGGCACCTATGCAGACACGGACAACATGTAAATTCCACTCAGAAACACCCTGTTCCAACCGGGATTCAAACCCAGGACCTTCTTGCCAAGAAGAAAGAGTGCTATCCACTCAGCCACTGTGCCCCACACACTGTAAACCCGAATAGTGGGGAAAACTAATGTTTCTTAAGGAAACTCGTTCCCTCAATAAAGATTAGTTTTATAAATACAATAAACATAACAATATAAGTTCATTAAACACAGTTTATTAACAGTCATTAGCTCACTAGACTAACTTACACATTGTTTGTACTAATCCGTTTTAGTTTTATAAATGCCATGACCATAACAATACAAGCTCATTAAACAGTCATGTATTAGTCTTAAGGTCCTGAACTTTATAAGTCGCAGATTGAGAAGCAATAATGCTTTCAGCCCAATTAGAGCTTAGTTTCTGTCAAGTACTGCTTTCAGACTCAGTGACCTTTCATTAAAACTAGAACATAAAAGATGACTCAGGGAGTTTGGTGCTCCTTTGGCTTGGTCCTGTCGATTACGGTTGCTAAAAATAAATGCATTGATTTATTTGGTCAAATTAGTTTATTGAAAATGTTGAATGCAGCTGGTTGCCATGACAACTTTGAATTGAGCATTTACAGATAAGTTGACCTCACTCTAACTCGGTGCACTGTAAAAACGACAACTCAAAATGGTTCACCATACTAAGATTTTTGCATTCACTGACAATAACATTGCCAGTTGGAAATGGAACTGTCTGTTGTGAGCCACTTGAACTCACTTTCAGAAGTTAATTAAGTTGATTTTACTTTGAAGTTGTAGTCAACTTCAAAGTAAAATCAACTTAATTTATCAAATAAGATGAACTTTTCATCAGAAACTTATGAAAGTGAGTTCAAGTGGCTCACAACAAAAAGTTCAACTTCCAACTGGCAATTATTATCAGTGAATGCAAAAATCTTAGTAAGGTGAACCATTTTGAGTTGTCGTTTTTACAGTGCTCCCCTTGGGTCAATCTTCTCTTTCTCTCTGTTTTTTTTTCCAACAAAGTTTATAAAATAAACATATTTTATGATACTACATGGTAATTCCTTTACATTTAAAATACAATAGATATCACCTTAAATTGGAGGGAATTAATTAAAGACAGTGTTAGGCACACCTCTGACCTCTGGAGGCATTGGAGAAACTGTCTTTATAAAATTTTGTAAATATTGAATTTTTGTGTGTTTTTTGTCTCTTTTGTTTTATATGGACCCTTTGTGTGTCTGAATTAAAGATTAAATAAATAAATAAAGATTTTTTGTTGTTTGGAGCCCGAAAGCTCATTAAATATGCGATATTGTGTACATTTGACCTAAGAAAAGCTCAAAATATGCCCTTGGAAAACATATGTAAAAAAACTCACCTTTTCATTTCATTCAGCAGACCTTAAAAAAACCACACACAAAAAAGATTTATTGATGACTACATTTGTTGACAACTATTTCAATAATGAATTTGTTTTAATTAAGCGCTTACCTCGTTACAGCCTTAGGAGAGAGCCAAATATTCATTTTATGGTCGTGTCTTTATGAAGTTGAAAATACCTCACAACACATGCTCTAACATGTAAGAACTGTTCTGACCATTCGAGTAGTGAAAACACCAAACAGGTCTTCGATTT